AGCGCTGCTGCACTCCCAGTGCCGCACTCTCCCGAGTGCGCCACGGGCTCAGCCCTCGGGTCATTTCTTTAGTGAGCGAGGGCAGAGCCAAGCCTGTTGCCAGTAACAAGCTTAGGGTTCTTAAGTCTGTGGATCCTAATTTTCATTAGAGGTACATATGGTATGTTGCAAAAATATGGTTATTGATAATAGGAAAGGTATGTTTCTGAGGTAAATGGTGCTATACAGTATCACCCAGTCCTTCTTAGTCGCCCCACCCCCACCCTCTGCAAAACTACAGAACCGGGAGGGGTAAGTGGAAGTGCTGGGTTGTCATGGTGTGAAGGTTAATTCTAGGTTGTCAACTTGGTTAGATGAGGGAATGCTGAGAAAGCTGGTAAAGCTTTCTTTTTAGGTGTGTCCGTGAGGGTGTTTCCAGCAGAGATTAGTATGAGAATCTGAGTGGCCTGGGTGGGAAAGACCCACCCTCAATGTGGGCAGGAACCATCCAATCTACTGGGGGTCCGGAGAGAACAAAAGACAGAGGAAAGAGGTGAGGCTCTCTCTCAATCCGCTGGAGCTGGGACACACTCTTCTCTCCTGTCCGGGGACATCAGAGCTCGAGACTCTTCAGCTTTTGGGTTCCAGAACATACACCAAGAACACCACCAGCTTCCCTGGTTCTGAGGCCTTTGGACTTGGACTGAGCCACGCTACCAGCATCCAGTTTATAGAAGGCCTATCGTGGGACTTTTCTTCATTATCACATGAGCTAATCTCCCTAATAAATCCCTCTAATATAATTATAACATATCCTACTGATTCTGTCTCTCTAGGGAACCCTGACTAATACACATGGAGACGACTCACTGCCGAGCATAGAACAAGGGGCGAGAATGGCTGGGAGCTGGAGCAGCGCTTCTCTGGAGCCAGACTGTTCCAAACAGCTGGAAGGTGGGACCTGGCCTGGGTGCTGTCTTAGTCTTTGTCACTAAGGGGTATAAAGGGGCTGGATAAAGGGAAAGAAAACAAAATCAGAGTGTTGTCCTGAGAAATAAAAAATACATCTCATAAACTTAATGCCACTGAATCAAAGAGAACCATTTGTTAAACTAAAACCTCAACCGCATGCTTGTTGGATCAAATTCTGGGTTAAACTAAAATAAATAAAATAAAAAATAAAAAAAGGACAAAATAAAAAAAGATGTCCTAAATGACAGAAGTATATCCTTGAAGACTACGTATAGAAGTCAGCATGTAATTTGCTATCTCCTAACACTTTTTTACTCTCTAGGCGTAAAACATCTCCTCTCCTTTCCCTGATAAGATGCAGGGATAGGTTTGGTCCTTGCACACTAAAGGTCTGAAGTGTTAAAGCCTGTAAGCTTTACTACATGAAGCCTGCATGCTCAAAGATGCTCTTGACAATGAGGTGGATGGCCCACACCAGTTGAAGCAACTTGGCTACCATGGGATGAAGCCCTGCAGAGTCTGGGATGCAAAAAAAAACAGTGATGACTCAAGTCTCTGGGGACTCTAATGAAACAAAGTCATGGAGGTGCAGAGACAGCCAAAAATGATGCAAAAACCTGCATGCAGCCCCAGGACCCTGAGTCCAAGCAAATGAGAACACTTTGTCTCAGGATGTGGTCACTGTGGAGGAGGCAGCTATGTTAACCCAAGTGTCAGCATTCACCCCACCCAAGTGCAAGCAAATCTATACCAAAAAATGTATCCCTCACATTCAAACCAAGTTAGTCACTAGTTGACCCTTTCCTATAATTCAGATGCCAAGAGACTTCTGACATTTTCTTTTAAATTTATCTTAAGTCTGATGGAAATTATAAGTAGCTGTGTAGATTGACTCTTAACGTCTTAAGAGGAAAAAACGAAATGATGGCATTGTAGGACACATAACCTCTGTAGTGAAAAGTAAAATCATGAATGTAAGTTAAAATAAAATTACTTAAGACCTTAATCACTGAGCTAAAAAGCACATGTTGCAGTAAATGTGACTATTAGCCATATTTAAAAATATCTAATATCCAATATTTTCCTAAAAGATTAGTGATTCCCAAACTGCCCAGCATCACATATAGAAAAATTACTATTTTACTATTGGACGGAGAAAATGTCCCTCTCCAAAATTTTGGACCTTCTCCATCCAAGGCATTTAATGCAACATCGTCTATTTCTGTTGCAACCAAATCTGTGAGCTTCTGTTCGCACCCTCCAAGACTGGCTGTATAGACCACACTGCTTCATGAGGAGTTTTTGCTTGAATAGCCTGAGGGTATACA